AGAGCAATTGCTGTGAAACATGATACATTGAGGTCTCAACCCGCGCAAACTGTACCTAAACTTACACTTTATTGCAGCTTAGTTCACAATCTTCACCTAATATAGGGTTACATCCCAGTGCAGCAAGCGGATAAATCATCCTGGAATATTACTCTGGCTAAGTTTAGCTGTGAGTGGAGCATATGTGCTTCCGAGTCACTGAAGCAAAGGCCCATAAAATACACTAATTACTGGAAGTTATGGTCACTGAGTGATTGATAGCGCTCTGCGAGGCAACTTCCCCATTCTCAGCTACTCTGACGGGTCTCCCCCACCACACAGCAATTATTAATTCATGACCCAACCCTCAGGCACTGGTACCTCTACTTCTAATTCCACTACCACAAAGATCGCGATGGAGCTGGACATTGTCCTTCTTCATCCTGGTGGCTGCTGAGGATGGCAGATGAGGGAATGGAGCTAATGGCCACTGCCTGGAAAAATCCCTTGAAATAGCTCAAGGGAGGAAAAATAACAAATATATAGGGCAGGTTTTTCCTAAGATCAAGTTTCTGAAACACAGCATTAGAATGAGTAAAACTACATAAATACTCTACAACAAGAACAACTCAAACTACTGAGCAAAACTCTGCATGTGCTACAGCCACTCTCAAGACTGAGTGAAGCATCTGAGGATTTGCCCACATTTGGCAACTACAACCCTTAAAACCACAGTAACAAGGTGAGGCTCATTGCAACAAAGTGCTTTCAACATTCTTGCTTTCCTCATGCCTCCTGTTATTCTCAATGGCTCCACCAGCACCACCAGCATCACAATGGCAAGGCATTTCCTTGTATCTCCAATTTAACCAAGTAAAATAAAGTTCTGCTCTCTGCAAGCACACAAAAAGCAAGGCCAAGCTGAGTAAGAAATGCCACTTGATCAGACACCCCTCACTCCAGCCAAGGAGTTCATTACAATATCAAGACTCCTGCTCTGTATGGAGGTCAAATGCAATTCTCATTTTCTTTTTAAGCTTGACCCTTGCCATTTTCTAATGGGCTATTTTAATTAATATTCCTCCTGCCTCTGCTCAGTGTGGCTTTTGACACTGGAGGTCACTGCATGGTCTGTGCCTCACACAGATTCACAGATGCCCCATCATGACTGTACCCCTTGCTATCAAACCTTCACCACATCACAGTGCCACTACAGAAACTGTGCTGCACCACCAAGCTTCAGGTCTCAGATTCCACCTCAGCATCTGCCTACCTGCTGTTGTTTAGGCAAGGGTGTAATACTGATGAAAGACCAACCATAACGTCCACACTTAAGTGAACTCCTGCAGAAGATTAAATGATGTTCTGCAGAGCTTCCTGCAGATCAGCTCACAATCTTCATTTTGAACCATTATCACATCAAAGCTGATGATGTGTGACTGAAGACATGCTTCAGACTCCTTAGAAAGTTCGTCTGAAACCTTCTCTCCTTGACCAGATTACATATACACAAGTCTTTACATCAGCTTCATGCAGCTAAAGCATTTCAATCTTTAAGATGTTTAAGAGAATCGTCTTAAAGCAGAGCTTCTCTGCAGCACCCTCTTCAAACATGTTCCTCCTCTTTGCTGTCATGTTCTCATTCTGGGAGTTTAAAGAACTTGTTTCTAACATTAAAACTGCTAGACAAGCTCCTTTCCTCTGAAGGAGAGAACACTGATCAGCTTTGCAAGAAAAGTTAGTTTTAAAAAGAGGCCTCCAACACAGCAAAAGTAGCTCTTTTTATCAGCAGAGAACAGCGGAAAGCAGAGACTAGGATGTGATGGAAAAGGAGGTGCAGAAAGGTATCATTAGCCAGCATTCATATTTCACAACTTGCTAGTTTTGTGGCATAAGCAAATCACTTATTTCCTGCATTTCAATGTAATATAATACCAATTTTACTGGTACATAAAATGAGCCCTGGATCTTCTGGCAAAGATGTGCAAGCCTATACTTCCCCTTAACAAACACCTCTGATCACAACTCTACTCCACTCCCTTCCCAAAACCCCCTGCTCACCTACCATCTCTCTCCCCAGGACACGTAGGAGACTCCGGTCCTCAGTCCTGTCTCAAGAGCATGCCAGTGCATCTCAGCAGAGATGGCAAAATCCAGGGGAAAACCAAGAGGCAACCCCCTGCAGAAGCAGGAGGGCCAAAGAAGACACCAGGTCTACACAGTCCCACCAAAAGCTCTTCTCACCCAGCTTCTTGTCTCTGGCAGCAGTCTCTTATCCCAGGAGAAACGGCTCTGCTGAAGGCACACCTGCTCCTCAAAAAGGCACCACTGGACAAGAACACTGCCTATTCAGAACACAACAAGATGAATCCTTTGGATGCTTCAGAGTCCACTTTCAGCTCACAGCCACACAAGGCAGGACGAGAGTCATATTAGAGAGTAACAAGAAATATTAGGCAATTCTATTTATCCTGTGCAGGACATGGCTCTTGGAGGGTGGCTGCCTCGGTTACAGAGCACACACAGCTCTCAGGCTCAGCCCAGCCCAGAGTGTATTTATGACTGAGTTATAAACCCTTGGAAAACAGCTTTTATAAATGAAAATGCTGACACAGTCTTCAGTGTAGTGACAGCAATGTCATTGGTTTAAACTGAACTCGCTTTGTCAAGCCATGAGCACCTCAATGAAACACCTAAAACCTCATGAAAACAGGCAAACTGTTTGCGATGAAACACTTTAAACAGGTTTCCAGCAAACTAATAATAATAATAATAATAATAATAATAATAATAATGATGCTAGCAGCACTTTTTAAATTTACTTGTTTTCATTTTTAATTTCTTCCCTCTTTTTGGCAAAGGAAACACTGAGCACCCTCAGACATCTCTTACTTCAAAGGGAACAAGAACACTCACCACTCTCAAGACTCAGGTGGTTCCCACCACCTAATACTTTTCACACTCTGCCAGCAAGTTTTCTGGGGCAGCTTTCTTAACCTCCAAAACTAAACTCAGTTTCACATTACACGAAGCTTTGCAGCAAAGAAATCCAAGACATTTGAAAGGCTCAGAAGAATATTAAAGAAACTAAGCAGATTTACTTAGCTGGTAATTTATATTCTCATACATCAGAACAGCCCTTGCTAACTTGGTCATAAATGCCATTTCTTTTCAATTAACATGCTCTAACAGTGCTACCATGAATCGCAGGGATTGGAGTATTGCACCTCTAAGTGGAGATGATTTTAAAATCCTACAGCAAATGCCAACTTCCCTTTTTAACAGCTCCATCAACAAGGGCCTGGGTGTCTCCACTACCAATCCCCATGTCAATACAGTGTTACTTTAATGACAGTGACCTTGCGTGGCTCTTTGAGCATCTTCTTCACCTTTTCTGAGCCATTTTTCTAAGGCAGTGTCCTTGCTTTCATCATTTAACACATCACTCAAACCACTTCAATAAAGCAGTGATCATGTTGAAGAGAGGTCCCGGAGGACCAGATGACATCCCAATTAACAAAGCACACCACACCAGATTGGTTTTTGTACATCTGGTTCAGAAAACATTTCTGGAAAGTGAGAGAAGGGGGAAAAAAAGTTGAAAGGGTTTAAAAGAGGAGATAAAATGCAAATTAAAGGTTTTCCTAATGTTGGCTGGTACAACATGAAATTCATCCTTCAAATCATATTCATGACCAGACAGGTTACTTACTAATAATCCTAAACTACACTCAAATATCTTGGTCTACATGGTAAATCATCAGATTGCTGCTACACATCAAAATACATCTTTTATTCAGCAAAGGAACCAGTAAACGCTTGTTCTATAGGATTCCTGAATTTATATCCCTCTATTCAATCATGAACTAGGACAATACCACAGTCAAGTCTTCGAGTAATACAATCTGGATTTAGCCCTTTGTTGGCTGGATTAATTTACAGAGTGTATGAGCACATTCGGTATCTCTCCCAAAACTGTGAGGGCTCTCCAGCATCACAAGCCATTAAAATTTGCAGTAAAACAAATTAAGAGAGCCACATCCCCTGTGACACGTTAAAGTATGTCATTGCTGTAATTCAGAGCTAGCTTCAGTCAGACTCTGGGAAAGATTTACAAGAGCTGAATGCAATGATTCAGCATTAAGTATTTCCACTGCAGTTAAAACTGACTTGGCAAGGAATTTATTGTTTGAAAATGTAACAAGACTCTTCGTTAACTTTTAGGCTACAAAATGAGAAATTTGCCTAAGATGCAGGGGGGCAGCACCAAGACTACGTAACTCCTATCTAATCATCTGCTAAAACATCAGTTGCACTTCACCAAAAGGCATATTCAGCTTTACCTTAATTATTACTCTATCATTATATGACATAATGATACAGTGATGTATCAGATACTAAACCAGAAGAAAAGGGAAGGGCACCTTTGCCCAGAGAAGCTGTGGCTGCCCCATCCCTGGCAGTGCTCATGGCCAGGTTGGATGCAACATGGAGCAAGCTGCTCTAGTGGAAGGTGTCCCTGCCCGTGGCAGGGGTTAGAACTGGATGAGCTTTAAGGTCCCTTCTAACCCAAACCATTTAATCACACAGGGAAGGACTCATACCACTGGGCAAATATTTCTACAGAGCTTTTGCAAGGCCATTAACCAGCTCAAACCTGGAATCTGCATAATGCCGTTTTAACCCTAATAACGGTCCCCTCGCTCCCAGCCTGTGAAGAAATACAGAAACACCATCATCTTCAATCCTAGAGGTGCTGAAAGGATGCAGAGGCATTCACGGACCAGGCCCCACTTCTTACTCCCATGTGGAGTTCTATTATACAGTTAATGGTTTGTGCAGAGGTTCTAATACTTAATTTGAAGGCAGTAAGAACAAACCCATTCTAAATACAGCCAAGAAGTTTAGCAATAGTTCAAAAGATGCACATATGAAACAGTATACAAAGATTACATGAAAGTATTCATACGTTAGATTTGATTGTTGCTTTGTGCACGTGAGAATGACAGATACTTCCATACCTCCATGAAGGAAATCCCTAGACTCCAAACATCTGAGTGAATTCCATACTGTTCTCCTGAAATCCGCTCAGGCTGCAAAGAGATGGAAAGAAACATCTTGAGCCCAGCAAACCATCATATATTGCACAAAACCTAGCCCAGGGCAAACAAAAGAACTGAGAAAATGCAAAGAAGCTTAAAGCTCACCAGCTAACCCGGCAGAGAGCAAACCCGCTCCTCAAACATGACTTCTTGATTTATTGTGCCTCTTCTGCAAGAGCAAAGGACTTGGTTATGCTCAGATGTGTAGCTACGCACCTTGCAAAGCTGGCCTTGGCATTTGTGTTTGGGCTGTTTTATCCAACAACAAAATACAGAAAGCCCATGGCTTGCACACGTGCAGCAGAGCACAAGGTTAAGCTGTGAAAGCCCAATGGTACACGCATCTATCACAAGGGACACTTGGAAAAGAGGCTCCTAACGTTGAGTGAAGGGGCTGGGGAGTAACCACGGTTTAAAAAGCGAAGTTACTGAAGCCAAAAGAACCAATGAACTCACATGCCAGCAATTTTATTTTATATACTTTCTAATTTCATTTCTGACCTATAGAAAATGAAAAGACTTTACTCAAAACTATTAATAGCAAGTTTAATGCCTCATGAAACAGAATGCTGTAAAATATAACTGCTAGTTTTTACTTGAAAGCTACAATTTAAGCATTTCCAAGGTCAAGTACAGCATGAAATGTAACAATAAAAGGCTCCATGAGACTTCTCTCCCCACTGTGCTGTTAATGCACCTGTCTAGCCCAACCACCTACAAAGCACTGGCTGTATTTTTAGTCTTTAATAATCCAGAGACCTTTGTTAGAAAACAAACTCCCAAATTAGTGCCACTCCAATGTGTTTTCGGATGTTTCCTCTGCCCTGCTAATCCCAGGTCAAGAGCTTTTATCGCAGCATGAACGTTAAGTAAAAAACAAAGTGCTGCTCGCATTGTCTTTAAGGATTGCCTCCCACAACTGCCATAACCTAAAAACCACCTCTGAATGGAACTGGAACAGCAAATCTTTCTGACTGAGTCTCATTTTGAGCTGAACAGTGACCCAAAAATCTTATACCTGTGGCAAGGTGATAACAGCAGATTCCTCTAGTGCAGATGAGACCCTGGCCCTTCCCAAGCCACCAAATCAGATGCATAATTCACACTGAGGGATATTAAATGGTTTATTCTTCCCTTATAACAGCTCAAGCTTTACATAGCAACTTCTAGTTAGAAATGATGCCTTCCCAGAAGACACCAGCAAGTAAATCCTTCACATGTTTAAACAAGAAGCCTACTCATGTGGATTTAAAAGTATGGAAAAGAAGATGAAAATAACAGTAGCACATGCATAAAGTCAAGTGTGCAACACAGATCATCCCCAGGATACAGAGCTCAAAACCATTTTCTCTTTAATTTTCTACAACTGCTTACTTTCTCCATCCACAATTTTTTGCCTATATAAAGTACTGACAAAATGATTTTACAGAAAATTCCATTTTTACTGGAAATTTTAATTTCCCTATCAAAAAGTTTTGTTTTTTTTTTCCTGCTATTTTATTGTCAACAGAAACCTCCATTTTTTTAATGGTTTCAAATTGACTCCCAGTCTGCCAAGTGGGCAACCCAAAGCTTATGGCCTTTGTTACTTTTTGATGACTTGCCTATAAATCTGACATTAACAAATGATTCACTCAGCAAGTAAACCTATTCTAACATAAGAAATCAGAGCAAGTGTATTCCTCTTTTGCCACTAGTAGGTGAACACATCACTTTCATCCATAAACAGTAAGGAAAAAAAGTCATTTATTTAATGTACACCTGGGAAAGAGAACAGTAATCTGGAGTTGTACACTAAAAGCATAATACAATTTAACTCTCAGACCTGCTAAGAGTAATAACTGAGTTGGAGAAGTTGATTAACTTGAGCTGTTTATTTGCCTGAATCACTATATTCCAGTCCTTTTAGGAAATGAAGCCATCCAAATAAGCAGGTTACTATAAAAAATGGTAATGCCCAAGACCAGATTTTTTTCCTCTCTTTATGTTTTTAAAACACTTTTCTGCACATAACATTGTGATGATGCAGGACAGACCAAGTCTTTCTAGGATGGTGACACGAGTGTTTCACAAGCCACATAATGAGTACACCTTGACTAGAAAAGCACTTAGCAACTAAATGGACACCCTGGTCTGCTTGCTTCTCACAAGAAAGTAAGAAAAATTACCTGAAAGTGATTAAAGGTCATGGATTTCTCTCTCCTCTTTTCCAAGGTTTGAAAAAATACTGTTATCAACCATTTTGTATAGTTTTCTCTTCATTTTTAAAACAAGCTGAACACTGATTTTCTCCTCATTAATACCATGACATAAATAATTTGTTAGAAGAATTTTAATTGCCAAAAATAAAAGACAGTGGTTAATACACTGCTCGAAAATGAAGCATGTAAGTTTTCACATCTGTTAAATGGAGAACTGAAATTAATCACATTCATCTAATGGAAAATAAATGCTAACTTTTGTAGTTTACTTTCAGACTGGCCCTTGTCACCATATTAATCTCTATGACATGAACACCACATGCCAGTTGTCAGGTCAGCTGGAACCACTAAACTCAAACCTCCCATCCTAGCTAACAGCAGCAGCCTTCCCCCTAGTGAGACGTCTTCAGCAATGTGTTAATTTGGTCTAAAAATGATGGGAATTTATACTTTCATGTACAGAAATAAGGCAAAGGTAGTTTCATCACCTCAACAGAGAAGTTGTGGCTGCCCTATCCCTGGCAGTGTTCAAGGCCAGACAGGGCTTGGAGCAAGCTGCTCTAGAGGAAGGTGTCCCTGCCAGTGGCAGGGGCTTGGAACTGGATGAGCTTTAAGGTCCATTCCAACACAAACCATGCTGTGATTCTATGATTCTACGATCTCTGCAGAAAACTGGGTTTTGAATGTTTGACTCTGCTTTGTTCTCAGCTGTTACAATGCAGTAAAGGCACCCAGAAACACAGTAAATAAACACTTTCCCAATATTACTCTTTCCTATCAGCAAGAAGCACAGTGTCACAGAGCTGGGAGCTGGTAGGGAGCACAGGTAGGAAGGGATTGGGTCTGTGAGACAGCACAAGGGACTTGTTTTGTGGTGTGCACAATTAAGACATAGTTTATGCTGGGGATAAGGAGAGATGAAGTTTGAGAATTGATTTAGAATATATCCTGCATTACACAGAACAAGACTGAACAAATACTTCTATTTAAATGTAACTCCTGCATAAATCCACTTACCGCCATATAAGCATTTGTTCCAACATACGTCTTGGCTATAGAATTCACCAGCTATCAGACAAAACAGTCTGTTAGAACAATATAAAGATAATGTGGAAATAAAATGGGCAATTATTCCTCATTTAACCTACAATCATCATTCCTATAAATCAACTAAAAATTATGTAAAAGGGAACAAATTTATCTGCAAAGGCATTAAAAATGATTAAATCTCTCTTTTGTTCGGAATGAGAGTTCCAATTTAAACAAGCACTGCATTACAGTTTATGGCTGATAACCTTAAACAATTCTGTTAAACAGGATGCTTATCGCTTTAGTACCCCAAACTAGTCTGATATAAAAAGTCAATTTGAAGTAGGATTGAACACGCTCATTTTTCAGTCAGCTGGCTCAAGATGTGAATAAAGCCACATTCATCACTTGAATGCAACGAGCACTAAATACGCTGGAGGGACAACAGACTCTGACAACTTATAATACAAGGCTGACCTTCTCTCTGGTCCTCGTGTTTGGCTGAGAGTAAAGGTGCAGAAATTCAAATCAACATCACAGCAAGCTCATGGGTCACTATCAGAGAAGTTCTCCAGGGAGGCCCAAAATGGAAATTAATTAAAATTTGTGCTGCACAGTGTAGAAGCCCACCACTATTGTTACTCCCAATATTAATTTTTATTGTGGGCCAGTTGGGCTCCCCAGACACGTCTCTCGTTCTGCCCTCCCTTTTGTCTGGCCAAAACGCTTTCAGATCAAAGCTGCATATCAATGAAGTTTGCTATTCGTAAGTAGTAATTACAATATCAGCAGTTTTTACTGTCATTAAACAATGAACAATCATATTCAGATGAAGAAAAGTCACCCAGAGATTAAAAATGAATAGGGCTCTCCCAGCAGAGGGGAGCTTGCTGTGGGGCTGTTTGTCTGGCAGCCAGGTGATTTCTGACATTAGGAAGAGAGCAGGCACATATCTAAAACGGGGGAATTACCTGTGTGCTGACCCCAAAGTCACACAGCTTCACCTGGCCTCGTGTGTTCACCAGCATATTAGATGGCTTCACATCTGTTGGGGAAACAAAGGTGTATTCCCTAGATTACGGCATCGTGTACACAGGGATCCTTACCAATATCAGCGTGATGGATTTTCACAGGAAATATTTCAGATATATTTCAAATGCAGCCTCTGGTTTGCAGCAGTCAGTAGCACAGACATTGTATCTCAAATACTAATAATCCATGCTATTAAATCTGCAGGTCACACCAATGTGGGGGGGACAGCAAGCGTGCTGGAGAACATTTCAAAGTGATCCTGGCAAACCGGAAAAAACAGAGTGAAAACATTACATGAAATTCAATAGGGACAAATGGAAGCACTGTGTTTAGACAGGGATTAATCAACTGCATAAACATAGGATTAAACAACTGCCTGGAGCGTAGGCTGGAGCAGGTCTGCAAAAAAGGATCTGTGGCTGATGGTGTGAAGTAGAAATGGCTGACAGGGAACAAAGTGTCACTGGGCGATTTAGGGACAAGCCAAAAGCAACAGTGCAAAGAGTGAAGCCTGGTTTTGTACCAAGGGATAGCTGGGCTGACCTTTTACCATTCATCCCAGCCTTGTGACTTTGCATTTTATCACTGCAGTTAACCCTGCCTCCCTCTTCTCCAACAGCTCTCACCTAATTCCACGTGGTGACAAGAGCAGAATTTAATATTCTATGAAAATTACAAAGTGTCCCCCACAAACACCTGTATAAAGGACCACAAGCAAAACAGCAAACATACAAGCACATTTGAGCTGCAGGAACACAGAATGGAGCTCTGCTCTTGGGCACACCATTCTTTAGAGCTACTGGCTTCCACCTCCATGGCTTCTACTGCATAACACAGCTCCGACTGCATGCATTTGGAACAATGCCTTAAAATGATTACTAATGATTACTAATCCTGCTCCAGCAAATTAAACATCTATGTACATCGTAAAGCCAGGTAAGAACTTAATGCTGAGCCCCTGATGCCAGAAGTTGGTTTACTTCTACTGCATACTCTAAAATCGATGTGTGAATAAACTCGATGGTAGTGCAGGAAACACTGAGCATCTTTTCTGTGTCAGCAATGCCAGTTGGAAAGTACCATGTGCACGTTATGGCCTGGCTTTAACTTGGGAAGATTAGAGCACAGTGGCTTTGCCTAATCACTGCTTTCTTCTGTCAAAATGGATTAAAAGCAATAGCTTGTATCTCTGCCTTCTTTAAAAGTGAACACTAGTTGGGTGCAGATGGATGAAACCCAACTAGAAAAGAACCTAATTTTGTTTATCATTAAGTTTGCCTTTGTTTAGCAGATGTTTCCTGGTACCACAGTAGCTTGCTTAATTTGTCTCTGTAATGTAGAAATGTATAACCTCAGTTAACAAGCTGATTAAATGCTTTCCTATATATGAGAGAAAAAAATCCAGTTTAAAAATGGAAGCATCCAACAGTACACTATACAGCTTAAGAAATTCTGTACATTTTAAGCTAGGTATTAATAGTGCTGGTATGTTTTGCTATTTCCCTCCAAAGCCAAAAGAACAATCAGTTGTGAGTGTCTCCATCATGTTACAGCATCAACAGACTCAGTATGTTATCCCAATCTCATCTCATCTTTAGGAATTCAATCCATGCGCTGCATTTGTGATGGATTTTTACCCATTCCACACCACAGGTGATGAGCAGAACATTGCTATGGAGCCATCCACATGGTCACCAATCTCCTGTCCACTTCCCAACAGCGTTTTAGGAATATGCTAACTAAAACTTCAGGGAGACTCAAAGGTTTCCTTGCGGCAGCTCACAAACAGCGCAGACCTCGGATGCTGACTGACTTCGCCACATCTATCAAGACATGATGAGTCCATCAGAGGCTCTACCCTGAATCCTGAGGAGAAAAGGACATTGCACAGTACTCCTGTTTAACCTTCTTTCTAATAATATGGCAGCCAACAGAGCTACCTACATCCCGGGTTCGTGCTGAACTGTGGGAGCAACCTGGTCTAGCGGAAGGTGTCCCTGCACATGGCAGGGGGTTGGAACTGGATGAGCTTTAAGGTCCTTCCAACCCAAACCATTCTATGTGCTCCAAGGGCATCCCACAAGTCCATATTCCCTTAACACAAGTCACTGGAGGAAACCAACATGTCACATTTGTCCCCTGTCCCACAAGGGCTGCCAGCTCTCACCGAGTTAGAACCAATGTGTCCAGCTATGTGACCTTGTGTCACTGGGGATCCACAGACCCAACTTCCTTTCCCTGGGAAAGGACAGTAAGCTAATATAATTAAAAAGAACATCTGTCATTCAATGAGCATTGCTTGATCCTGAAATCCTTCCACAAACAATAATAAAAGGAGAAATTCCTAAAAGAAAAAAGCAATCAGTGGTCAGCCCACGAAGGAAGGGAAGCCTCAGCCCACAAAGGCAGAGAAGCCCAGGAAGAAAGGGCAGCTTGTGCAGGCTGGGGCCTCCACTGAGCAAGCTGTAGCCAAACAAGCACTGCTATAACAAAAACACTATCTATCCTTGCAGAAGAATTTAACTAGCACCACAAATAGGGGGTTTAAGCAAATATTTGCTATAAATTCCAAGGGTTGTGCTGGTTTCCTCAAGAAGAAAGGGAAGTGACAATCCTCAACGAAGATGTCACTTCAAAGTATCTCGCATCAAAAGTGGGGAGAAAAATCACCCAATCAGTAAATTAGCCTTTTTGTTTCGTGAACAGCTTCAGTTAATGGGTTAAACATTTCTTTTTGGTTTTGGAAAACAAATGTGCATAAATAATGTTCTGCACCATCTGCTTGTGATTAATATTACTGTTTAGAAGTGAAAGAATTTAAACAAGAGCCAAAAGGGGTCATTATGCTCCCATTACCAGTGCTTGCTTAATACAAATGATTTCCATGAAGCATCATTATAGAGGAGGAACAAGTCCTCTTTATGATATATCTGCCTAAGTAGTTTCACCTCTCTGCAAATAAATGGGACCTCCAAAGCTCGTGCTTACCAGTAAACAGAACTGTCACAGGTTCAGCTTTGTGAACACCAAACATTTCATCTTGTTTTATTGAAAGCAAACGGATTGGTGATTGTGAGGGGAAAAAATCCCTAACAAAACAACATATTTCTGAAAGCTGTCTCTTGACTTTTCCTGTCTTTTAAACATATAAAACCACAGCACACCAGGTTCAAGGAAGAGGAGATACAAAAGCACAGTTCTACCTGCAGACAGCTCACAGAACACTGCTGTTAAAGAGAAGCTGCTGGGAAAATGACAATACTTCCTTGCCACAATGACTTCCTCAGCATGCTTGTTGTAAAGGCCAGGAGTATTTTGTTGTAAATAAGCTCAAGTGGTCCATGAGTGTGCATGTATGTGCTTAGCTACACATGTGAATATGCAGAGGTATACACACACATGCCCTAGTATTTTTGTTTGTGCTTCATTACATTCTACACTAACAATTTTCTCCCATAAAGCTAAAAAAAGGGTGGGTGAAAAATCAAATATACTGCTCTGGGCACCTCTGGTGAAATCCTCAGCAAACTAAGATGGGAACACTCCTTGTCCCTGTTGCAGCAATACCTGCCCCTACCAATCATCACTCCTCAGCTCCAGTAGCTTGTCAAAACAAAGAGGATTTGAATATCCTTCTATGGGAATAACCCAGGGTAAAAAAGAGATGGTCTGAGGGATGCACAAACCTCCCTTCTCCTTCACCCAGCCACCAACAGCCTGGGAACATCTTGAGATCATCAACTCTGCTCAGCCTCACGCATCACAAATCGGAAGAGACCTCCAAAACTCTGACAGATCTAAAACCTGCTCAGAAACCAAGGGACCCAAACCAGCACAAATATATACCAGCCCCCAACACACATACAAATACAGATGAGCACAATTAAACACAAGTGGGTAACATTGATTTCATACATTTCCTTTAATAAGGAGGTGTGAAGAGAAAAAAACGTAGCAGATAAAATGCATACGGTCTATACTTATTCTTGAACTTAACAGATTTTGGTTTGTCTTTATACAAACTTTGACTTTGTACATGATTAGACTTGTTTAATTGCTAAATCTGTTTTAAATCTAAGTTAATTTCTCATTACCCTTCCATTTCTACTTCTTATCCTCTGGGGAAAAGAGCACACTTATCATTGGGACATTCTCACATCTTCCAAAGAAGTGCTGTAGGTGTTAATCTTATGTTTATGTTTGATGTGGGTGTGATGACTAAGACTGCAGCGTTGGGTTTATTAATATGCACGGCTATCACCTCATTAGTTGCAAGGTTTGTTTTGAAGTTAAGCTGTAATATTTGCTGAAATGTCTGATCTGCAATAAAAGACTTGCTCATTGTTTGTTTCCTTTGCTTTAATCCATGCTCTAGTCACAAACTGTCTTTGCTGCGCTGCCTTACACAGCTTCTCCACCTTCCTTATGCCGCGGTGGAAACTCTCGACTCCTCAGCCTATGTGAGCTTCCTGCATGATCTTCTGCATGTGACAGCAAGGAAGTCAGGGTTAAACTGTCTTTCTTTTACCTCTGATGCATTAAAACCAGTAGCCAGAGATTACTCTGAGAAGCAGGCATTTCCCTGGCATGGTATTACTTTGTACCCATTTTTAAAACAGAGAAGTACACACACTTTTTCTGCGGCCTCAAAACAGACAAGAAGACTGAAAACCTTGAGGAAACTCTGCTGAACCTGGAATTCTACTTATCCCCTCCATGGCACTCTGCAGGGCTGTTCTCACCTTGGTCATTCCAGCAACAGACCAAGGCCAGAAACATCTGAAGTGTGATGAAAAATCAGTTTCTGCGCTTTTCTTTAGGCCATGGCAAGGACCATACATAATTCATCAAAAACTCAAGAGCTGCTCTTCAATCAAGGCAGTGAAACCCATATAAAAGGGGGGATTTTGTTTTACTGGCAAGGTAAAAATCAGATCCAGGTTCTAAATTTACAGCAGAACAAACAATAAAACGTTGCAGTTATAGTACTTATGCTTGCCCACAATGCTCTCTCCAAATCACACTGAGGAGGTGACCAGAATCTTAAATGAGAAAATGAAAAATAAGATTCAAATGTGCCTTTTTTCTCTTCGGGTGTTACAAAAGTGTGGCAATAATGTGTAGTAATGTCCAGCCATGGATGTTCCAGGTACCTTGTCATTTATTCTGACAATTGCTGTAGCAGCTCTGGCATCTAGACTGTTCATCCTCTTGCTGCAAGTGGATGGAGCTACTAAATCTGCATTTGGCAACATCCAGGCTAGTAGGTGAAATGTTGAAACCATCATCAGAAATGAAGCCTCCTTGGCAACTTGTGCCTGCACTGAGCTGGTCATGGATTCGGGGTTATTCCTGTTCTTTTAATCCAGCAACAACCAAGGGTCAAATACACTAGCAGCCTTAGTGTTTCACTGAGCCTCTAATCGGGGGTAACAAAGCCAAGACCTTAACTTGATCTCTACTCACTCTTCTGGCCACAGGCCTTTTTCTACCATCCGGGAGAGAGCCTGCGCTCTCACATCACAATGACCTCCCAAGAAGGAGACACTGTGAAACTGAGGAGGAATCCAAGCCAATGTCCTGTTGCACAGCTGCTCGCTGGGGCACTGCACAAAGGCAGGCTCAATCTCCTCCTCCATTCAAACTCTCCACAAAAGCCTGAGGACAGTCCGAGGTCTAAGGATGGGCAGGACCTCAATACATACCATAATCAGTGTTTCCCGTTAGCATGTTCTTACCACTCAGAGTACAGATTTCTGGATGACTCTCCAGAGGTGTCCAGTTCCTTGCACTGATCACACCAGGACACCAGGCACACAACCTAGGCGTTGCTCATCACCTTGCTCAGCCTTCCACCTACCTCTCAGCCACTCCAGAACCAGTCACCCCACAAGAAATGCTCTTACCTACTTGGTCTGCAACTTAAGATTTTCTATGTGTCTCTCTACTTTACCCTTCTCTTTCAATCCCAAATGATGTCGGTTACTGCATGCTCCAACTGTGCACTCGGGCTGAGTGAGCAGATGGGTTAAATTAAACAGTACTGTTAGCAACATTAGGAACCAAAGCAGTTACTTTCAGACACTTTAGACACATTATAAATGTAATGAGTTTTCCTTTTTTTTGGAGGGTGGGGGGTGGTGAAGGGTGAAGAGCTTCTTTGTTCTTTAAACAGCGTTTTCCACTGTTCCAGAAATGGCACTGATTTTGAAAGTCCTAATACATCTAAATTAACTTTCCACAACAGCTATATTCGTAACAAAATAAAATAACATTTAAAAGCAAGAACTAGATTTTAGATTGGATCTAAGGAGGAAATTCTTTCCTGTTAGGGTGGTGAGGCACTGGAATGGGTTGCCCAGGGAGGTTGTGAATGCTCCATCCCTGGCAGTGTTCAAGGCAGTGGACAAAGCCTTGGGTGAGATGGTTTAGTGTGAGGTGTCCCTGCCCATGGCAGGGGGGTTGGAACTGGATGATCTTGAGGTCCTTTCCAACCCGAACTATTCTATGATTCTAAATGAGAAGTTTAAAAAAACACGGATGAGCTTCAGGAAGGAGAACAAACTGCAAAACCCCAAAATAAAATGCCTTAGGTGAAAACAGGGTTAAAGGTTCTTTCACTGTTCGTGACCATGTTAGAGGACAGTGGGCCATGTTTTTAGAGACTCTTGCAATGCCTGTGGCTGTCACGTGAGGTTTCTGAGGTACATAAGAAAACTCATTATCCATCTTCTATTTTCAATCCCAGGCAAACACCTGATTTGCCTTGCTCATTTTGCCACTGGGCACCTGCCCGTAACACTGAGCATCTCCATCTCCATAAAATTTGTTTCTTTCTTCAGTCTTTTTCTTTGCAGGGGAACAGGGAGGGCAATAAAAGAGAAGAGCAGTAAAAATATTTTATCAGAAAGCATGCAAGGCTAATGAGCAAGATTCATCCTGCATTACTCCACTGGAATCAAAGCAGATGTTTATAAGATCTACTGTCTCCATAGCAGTGTTGCTAATATAAAATAATAGGGTATTTCACTGGAAAACAGAAAACATCTGTTACTCACCTCTGTGCAGAATCTTTAGACTCCATAAATAGGTAAGGCCTTTCACAACCTGAATTGAAAAGGAAAAGCAACACAAAGATTCCTGGTAAGAAATACTGCACATCTCAGCTTGCACAAGTCATTAAAGACCCAAATTCCAATGAACTATGGAGCCAGGGCCAGAAAGTGTGGAAGGTGTCCCTGCCCGTGGCAGGGGGCTGGAACTGGATGAGCTTTAAGGTGCCTTCAACCCAAACCAGTCTGGGATTCTGTCACTGGATCCAACTGCCACTCTATTTCATGCATACAATACGATTATAACAATCAAACAAGCCCATCAGTCCACTCCCTAAGACAGCAGCTGGGTGTTACAAGTCATCCTCTCTGCAGGTTTTGTTTCTGTAAGTAATTAACCACCCATACTCTTGCATTTTTAACACTCTCATTTTCCCCTAGATTTACTACAAGCCCAGAGAGCAAGATTCAACAAACACATTTCTCCTCCTGCTCCTTTTTAACTCGACCCATCCCTGCCCTCAGCCAGCTTTCTTTAACAGAGCAAATCTTTCCTCTAAAGTTCCCATCTCTGAGACGACATTTCATTCACTTCCCTGACACTTTGTGCATCTCCAGAACAATAAAGCATTCCCGACAGCTGTGAAGTTGTAGGAGTTTTTCACTCAAAACAATTACATTCGTTGTCCGAGTAGACTGCAATGAAATTACTTCTGTTACAGTGATCAAGCAGAAGTGCTAAAAATATACAGCATGAAAGCAGAGAGCATAAGGATTTACAGCCATCCTATTGGATTAGAAACTCCTTTTAGAACTTACTCTGTAATCAAAACCAGTGTCAGTGGAATCACAATCTCTTTTATACAGCAAGTTATGATTCTGGATCCCCAACAAACTGCTCTAGGTGGCAATTCCTCAGTGTTTAACTCACACTTCATACCCATCTCATGGCCTCAGTTGCTAAGTCCCTGTAACAAAAGTCAAATTCTGCGTGCTCAGTGGTGTGCCCTTCTTCATGTTGGCCTTTCAAAAAGCAAAAGAGGGGAATTGTACTTACACAGAATTTTGTCATAAGAAGAAGGGAAAAACAAAAAGTCTTTATACAAAAATAAAGAAAGGGGGTGCAACATCTCAGGCTTCCTCATTGGTGAAAGTGCTTCTGATGACAGTAAGCTGCTCTGATTATTAAACATCTATTTGGACTATTCAGAATCTTTAAAACCATTATGAAATTATTTAATTTAAAGCATGCATTCATAGAAAAAAAGAAATGTTTCCTATGGGGGAAAAAAGTCAACAGCTGTGAGTTATTAAACATCTTTATTATGGAACATGTGCTGGATAAGCAGTTATGAAAGACACGGCATTAAACAAACTTTCACATTCCAGTTCTCTCAGTATCAGTGTGCAAAGGAATGAAAAGAGCTCTTCCCTTTATCCTGGGCTGCAAAGATGCGAACAGGAGCCCCCCCACATGGACTAACTCAGAGGAAAGCACCGTTCCTCACTTACCTTACATTTGCCTATTAGGAAAGGACTCTCAAGTATTAAATATTATTCTAAAATGGTGCTGGAAGAGAGTATCTTTTGATTGAACATCTAGCAGGAATTATTGGTATTCAGTAAAGCAGGTTTTACAACAATGGCTTGACAAAGCCTTGACACAAAAAGTACTTCTACCTGCTGTCAATCACCCACTCTCTTGACAGTTCAAGTGCACATCCTTTCAGGGAGAACTTCAATCAACATTAGCACTCAAAATACAGTGCACAATGTCACTGCTTCAGAAATTGAAGTGAAAATAAATGTGTGAAGTGGCAAGCAAAGGTAGAACAGATTTTACATCGGCGGACCCAAATAAGTACACATCAGTATGAAAGCAGGAGCCACCACATCACTTTGGGTTTCCCAAGATACACTTTTCCTTTGGAAAAGCACACTAGCCCTTCACATAAATAAAGTACACAAGAAGAAGAGAGCTTTCCCATTCTCGTTGATACTGCCTCAATACAGGTGACCAGGGTGAATTTTATTATGAAGTCAGAGATCCCTCCAGTTTCTTGGAGTTTCTCTTACTATTTCATCCTGCTCCTGAATCACAGAATCCTAGACTGGTTTGGTTTGGAAGGGACCTTAGAGCTCATCACTATTTTTAAGGGCTGTCAGTCCACCACTTTTCATGGCAAATTCATGTAACAAGAAAGGAAGCAAGAAGACAAGTCAGAGTGAGAGGAGCGCTGGGATGCTGCTACATGTCTACATGTGCTGGCATCATTTTCCTCTGGAAATGGTTTCTCTTAAAAACTTCTTCAAATACAACAAAGGGATATTCTAATTAACAGATGCGCGGGTCACACATATTATTAAGCAGCTTCAATAGACCAATGCATTGTACATGTCTCAGGAGAATAAAAGACAAATGACTCTGTGTGCGTGGTGCAATGAAGGTAGAAAGAAAACATACAAAAATTGGGGAAAAAAGACTACAGAAGCTCCAGGTTTTGTGTACAAAATCCATTCATGTGAGCTCCAGCTTTGTTTGATATCCTCCTTCTCCTCAGTACCTGAACAGAAATCCTCCAGGCTTTGGGTAATCTTCCCAAGCTGTCCAGGGTGGGGATTATGGTGTCTGTGGACTTGGCAAAAAGGTGCCCAACCCACAAAATGGGCTGCTGGGCCCTGCTGAAAACATCAGACACCAAGATGCAGGGTTGTGAAGACTTAAAGGAGCCTTTCCTGCTGCCACTGATAAATTCTAGAGAGAACAAAGGCTTTCACTGCCTCCTTCCAACAAGTCTACTATGCCAACTGAGCAAAAAAGCAGCACCAGAGCAGGGGACGCTGCCAGTGCTGGTTCAGCCTCAGCGCACACCTTCTGTTACACAGAAGCAGGAGAAAGGGCCAAGTTCCTTCTCTGAAGGCTCCTGCTCCTTTGTTCACCTCTTTACTGACCCCCTGCACTGCAGTGGGCACAGTACAGGCTGCTAAAGCAGCAAATAAAAGAACTAGAAGCTGTTAAGTATGAGCTCACTGTCCTTGTCAGGGAGTCATGCTCACTAACAGATTCACAGAGAGATGACCCTGCAGGTGAACTATATATATATATATATCTCAGGACATAAAAGGTGGGGCTGAAGCATCACCATTATGGATAAGTGAATAATTGGAAGAGAACATCAGTAAAATATCAAGCCAAGGAGCTGGGGAGGATGGGGGAGAGGAGAGACAAAAGTAAGTAAAGGAAATGACAAGGTAAGTTAGTGTGGATGTATTAAATACATAACATGAAGTCAAATGAGGAAAAGAAGAAGGAATAAGCAGATGAAGAAATTCTTTAAGGCCCATCCCAGTATTATTACACTCTACACATGCTACTCAGGAATATGAGGACACTGTTCATTGCTCCATAGGGAAGAAGAGATGAAACGTTTTTACTCTGAACTAAAGGTGAAAAGCATTCAAATTCCATAAGAAACTGCTAGGCTATATAATGAGCAGATTTGAAGCTACTTAGAGGAAACAGCATCAGAGAGGGATGCTCATCACCCTGGGCAGGCCACACAAATTAAGAGGAAAGTAGAGCTGTGAATTACAATGAACAGAGACTAAATAGCTGCCTGTGTTGGATTAAAGGATTTAAATTGTCAGCTTGATGTATAATGAATGTGAAAGCCCAGCACTTAATTAAATGGCACATGATAGAATAACTTTGTTATGCTTTAAACTGCTTAAGTTATCAAAGTATTCCTTATATTTAGCAATTGTTTAGCAGTATCTCCCTCCCCTGGGAAATCCACTAAGACATTGGTCATTTACCCCTTATTCAGCTCTGGCAAAAGATGGGACTTTTGGGTCTTTTTTTCCTTCTTTTGTTGCTCTGTAATTTAGTTTTCAAATTGGAGCCAGTGAATTTCTAGCAGAGCAGCCACTGAAGGCTGCTGAAACACAGTGACGAGCTACCAGGTCCTCCAAGGATCCCACTGTCAACACCTTGTTACCAAACTGAGTAGATATAGGGGATTGATGGTTTTTCCTAGCTCACAGACCATCTCCCTGCTCATCACCTCCAAAATCACTATCAGCTCCTCAGCCATTACTGCTCAGGTGTGAAGGGTCCCATCACTGTAGTAAGAGCAGCCTGTCCCCAGGCAGCCTTGGTCAGCCAAATAAAAACTGCAGCCTCCTCCTTATGTGCATTCAGGAGTACATCTGCCACAGGGGAAGAGAGAAAATGTGTTCTGCCATTGCATTCTGGTACCAGGAGCTGACTTCATCTTTCAGCCTGGGAAGCAAACCTAATTGAGTTAACTTTGTGCAGAACAAACAGTTAGAATGGAAATTACACACGAGAAGCAGCAGATGAGGGAATCACCTTAAAGGCTAAGACAGGGCTTCTGAATCACTTTTTAAAGGAACCATATAGTACAGAAGGACTGCAAGGCTCAATAAAGACAATCAAGAGGACTGCTCCATCCTACAAGGGTTGACGTGAAGAAACAGACCACGCAGATCTCCAGCAAATTCATGACTTCTTTCCTCATCCCATTTAATTTATCACATTTCTTGAGCCTCTGGCAACTCATGTGCTCGTAGTTCTAAAGGAAGGCTTCCTTAACCCTGGTGTCCTTGTGCACACCCAAGGGTTAGGAAGGACCTTCCCTTTCACAATGAGGACACGGACTCTGGACACGACTTGGTGTCACAAGGGGCATGTGTGCACTCAAATCATTCTGTTACACGCACAATCAAAACCCAAAAGACATAAAGAAAGAAGTACTTACAGCTACTGCTATTCTTCCAAGTACATGCTCTGGAATTTTTCTATAAACATCCAAAGAACCCCCTGCAGGGACAAACAAAATGTGCTTAGATAATACAAAATGAAATACTGCCCCAGATTTGAAGCCACAAGGGGTTTCTAGGCCTTGGTTATTAATAAAAACACCATCAATGATATAACAATAACTGTGTCAGAAATAACTGACCTTAAAAATCTACCAAACTCTGAATAAACACATGGAACAGTACCTGGGGGTCTTTCCACCCACATTACTTATTGCTGCTTGCAGCATTAACACTCAAACTCTTAGAAAACCTCCCAGTCACAAGACAGAATATCAAAGTTGGAGAACTCAAACCCAACAGGCTTGGAGAAACTTCTCAGGAATAAAAAAGTCATCCCAAAAGCAACAGTGGACGTCAGAGTCCCTTATGTTCTGCAAAGGAAATTCATGACCAAATCAGTGTTCAAAACATCCCTAGGGTGAAATTATTGGGCAAGAAAGCAAATTTAAAATTGAAAATTAAAAATACCCAAGTAGAATGGCAAATAAATAAATCAAAGGACAAGTGAATTACAGGCAGAGTGTACTACCATTAGCTTGCAAGAGCAGGTTGTCTTAGTCAAGGCTTGAGGTCCTCAGAGTGCTCAGCACTGATCTAACTCTGCTCTCAGTGCAGCATCTAGGTTTTACTGAGGACACCATTGGGAAAAGAGTGAGGCCAATGTCCAGCAATTAAGAAAACTCTTTACCTGTATTCTTACGCATCAAAATTAAAGGTTGGGATACAACTGGGCAGAGTCCTGGGATTCAGGAAATCTTATAAACTGGCCCAAGACAGTCCAAAGGGCTAAACATTTGTCAAGGTTAAAGCTGCTCATCTGCAGGATGAGAAAGTATTTTTTCTTCTCTTTACCTGTATTCTTATGCATCAAAATTAAAGGTCTCAGGGAAAAAAATGGCAAGGTCCCTTTATTTGCATTTTGTTCTTCCTTTAAATGATTGCTGTTGCTTTCTGCCAGAAGGAGTGCACAACATGAGGCAGACCAGAGGTCATCTCCAGTATAATTCCGAGTAATTAGTGCATGGTCAGTAAACACCATCGTTGTGCAACATGAGGGATGCATACCCTAAAGGCTTCAATATTTTCAAGCAAGAATTCAGAACTGGAAGCATTTATGTCCATTATTTTAAACATCTCTGAATTAGTAGGGGCATACACACTCTAGACAGATGCATGGTTTTGGCATGAGCAGATGCTTCCTTACTGCATGGGACTACTCCTGCTTAACACAGGCTTGCAAATCTGAGGCAACTGCAAGAACAGAGCAGAGAAATGGCTAAGACACACAGCAGGAGAACAGCAAGGAACTGAGCTTCTAGGCTTTGCTGAATAAATGTAGCATTTTCCATCAAAATATGGAAAATCTGAGAGAATATTAGTACTTGGAAACAGGGCACAGTGATGCCTGGGACAGAGGCAGTGAATGTAAAAAGGAAGAAATAACAACAATAACAGACCATTTTAACAGGGAGAAAACAAAATGCACCATAAAACCCTAAAGGTTTTTTATCTTTATATCAGAAAGAATGAAGCTACTCGATGCTTAATGACACACATTTGGCTTTGGAAATTTTTCCTGCCATAAAGCCTTCTCTCCACAGAGAATTGTTTGTGAGATCCTTACTTCTTTATATCCAGCTTAACTGAACCTTTGTGAAAGACCTGGAGAAGGCATAAAATGTTGGCTCGTAAGAAAATCCTGGAGTGAGTAACAGACTATTGCTCCTAACAACAACGTGATGTTAAGAGATGAACGCTGTGAAGAGGGTTGTTGCGCGAGACACAAGGGGACTGCAGCTGCCATGAGACACACTCTCAGAACCGATACACAGAGGGCAGCAATGATTATAAATTGCTGCAATCACAATGCTTTCCCTGCCTTTTCCCCAAGAATTCCACACGGCATGAAGATTTCAAAGCAAAGCACTAATACATCTCCACAATGACCGTAGCATCAGATGGTGGGGAAGGGGATACTCTTGGTCTGAAGACTCACATTGAGAGAAACGGGAGTACACTCCAAAAGGAGCTCAGTGCCATGCTGCTAAACAGCTGTGTTAGAAAATCATTCCTTGTCTTGCAATTAAGAGACGATTTCCATTGAAAACACACAGGACATTGGGTTAATAGATTTCTTTAAAAGAAAATCTGGTTTGGCTATCAAAACAGGAAAAGTGAGGAACAGCTGTTTTGTCAGCGAGGACAGATTGTATGGAACACTCAAATATCAACCCACAAATTAAGCCAGCATTTACTTCTCTTCTATTTACATTTTCAATAAAAGTAGGGAAGTTACACTCAGGAAAACACAGCAGCCCATGGAGAATGTAACATAAGCCCAATACCAACCTATTCTGTCTATAAACTACCTGTGAAATTATTAATACAGTCATACCACTGCATTTTGCTCTGTTCTGGAAAAGCACATCTTGATATGGTTTTCCCATTAACAGACTTAGCAACCAAAAGCACACTGAATGCACAACTCACCGTCCATGAACTCTGTGCACAGGGAAATCCTGTTTTCTACAAAAAAAGCACCGTAAAATCCTATGATATACGATGAGTCACACTGGGAAAAGAAAGGGAAAAAGAGAGAAGCCTGGTTTAAAATTTGTTGTAAGAAGATTATAAGGAAGAATACTGAAAATGAGAAAATTTATATACCTTGTAAAGAATTTCTAACTCCGACATTATCTGCTTCTGGAGTTCCAGTGTTATATCTAAGGGTATGACCTAAAATACAACACAAGAGATACATGATCACAGTTGACATAAAAAATGAATGATTCAAAATAAAAACCTGAGTATTAGTAATCTTTATGTGATGAAAAGAAAGGCAGGAATAGATGGAAAGAGTATTTTAATACAGCGATGAGCAAAGGAAGGAAATGGAAATGAAAGGACAGATTTATTTACTTTTAAAAGTCAGTTACAAGCAAACTAAGCTATACAGACAATTTTATCCATGAAATATCATCAGGTTTGTGGTTTAACCATTCAACCATGAGATGAGTTTGGCTTGAACACAAGCCGCAGACGTAACATGAAGAGCAGGAGTGGTAGATCTACAGGTCCCAAAGTGCTGAAGTTAATTCTAAGGGCTAAATACACACAGTACTGGAAGCACCCCTGAATGTCTCATTGGTGCCTTGAAGGAGTGTCTCTTACCATGACCTTTATAGTTTCAGTTTAATATTTATCCCTTTTTTATCTGAATTCCTAACATTGTATGGAACATGGAAAACTGTTAAACACACAGAAAAAATGCAGATGATACAGATGCTTAGATAAGTATCACCAAAGCATTCCTCAAAACAACTACACACTCTGTGACTTGGAGCACTCAGCAGCTCATTCTCATGCTTATTACTGCTTCCTCCACCCAAACCCTCGTTTTCCATCGTTCTGAGCCAGGCTGCTACCCAGGACTGAAGCACCAAGTGCTGCAGTGAAGGTGGAGATGCAAGTCTGCAGGATTTTCAAGACAGACTCTCTTAATAAGGATGCTGGTTCTGGCAGAACCAGCATTGAAAGTGAACTTTAATATGCAACTCCTTGCCATGATTATTTGAAGACTTCCACATTCAATTATTAAGTACTAGTATATAAACCAAAATAGATTCTAAATGCATTTAGCCACCACGATATTTCACAGTTTGATATTTGAAGCTAAAGGGGAATAAAATGTAGTCAATTTGCAGAATTAGCAGAACAGATATAACAGGCTGCATTTACTGCTGATACAACAAAATACAGAGGCCATTTCCAAACGCACAGATTTTACAGTATCAAAATCAGTCTAAAAGAAAAACCGATAACCTGCACCTATCAAGACTTTGCTTTAGGGTTATTTATAAAAGCTGTCACTAAACTAAATTGTAAGTGTAATACAGGGCTGCCAAGAAACGTTTAACACACTTGTCTAGATCAATAATCATTTGCCAACAATATTCACTTACATTTTTCCAGCCTGAAAAACTTACAATAATTTGCTGGGATACCATCAGTTTCACCCACTGAATATTAACAGAATTTAATCTTGTCAACGATATAAAAATCAGCATTTTATCTCACTAAACACTACTCACAGTGAGAAACTTCCCTGCCTGTTCCCTGGGAAGGCTTCACCGATCTGAACAAGGACTAGTTAGCATGATCAGCGGCAAATACATCACTGACATCCAATCAACAACGACCTGGCATGAAGAAAGGTCTCTGGCTGATTTGCATTAACTATAATTACATACAGACCCTGCATTCTAATAGTGGGATAACCTAGAAAGGCAGAGCTACCCTACTAACAAGTGTTGAGGATACTACTGGGTAGGGCATGTATGGAAATGCACTACAACAGTATGGGAAGCATGTATGGCTTTTGATAAGGGCCTGTAGGGACAGGCCAAGGGGAATGGCTTTAACTTGCCAGAGGGGAGACTGAGATGAGCTCTTAGGCAGAAGCTCTTCCCTGTGAGGGTGCTGAGGTGCTGGCACAGGGTGCCCAGAGAAGCTGTGGCTGCCCCATCCCTGGCAGTGTTCAAGGCCAGGTTGGACACAGGGGCTTGGAGCAAACTGCTCTAGTGGAAGGGGTCCCTGCCTGTGGCAGGGGTTGGAGCTGGATGAGCTTTAAGGTCCCTTCAATACAAACCATTCTGTGATTCTATGATTTTTAATTCAAATGGTGTGGTGGTCCTCTGGGATTCAGGAAGGGCTGCAAGCATTCCTGCATATCTTTCTTAAATTCCTGCCTAAAATACAGCGCTTTTGAAACCACTTGGCACACTTAGAACTTACATTAACTCCACATACCCAACGTTCCAAGTGAAAAGGGTTAATTTTTAAAAGAGGAATACCTGAACATATTTCCTCTGCTCCAGGACAAATAAGGATGAGTTGTCAAGTTAAATACAAGCAGTCAAGTGACTGAATTATAATTTACTCTGTGCTCAATTTAAATTAGTGTGAGGCTATTAAAATATACAGTATAAATACGGCAATTCATCACAAGCTGTCATGGATGACTTCATCTATTTGCTGGAGTGGCATACGTTCCACTACAGGGAACGAGAGCAAAATCACAGGTCAAATTAAGCTGCTATTCTGTTTTAATTCACTTATTTAATCTGTGGCGACATAATTGTCTTTTACAGTATGTACAACTCAAAGGAAATTTGGGAGTATTATAGCTGCTATAAAAATGATTAATCAAATGGTCCATTTAAATGCTAGCTTAAGAGCAGGAGAAACTAAAAGCAGTTGAAGAATGGCAACCAGCCAGTGTACACTCACAGTTTTCATTCAGATTTTCCCCTCTAATTGAAAAAAAGTTACCTGTGAATAATCTATTCAACCCTCTGCACAATACCTAGCTGCAAAGTTCATATAAAATGACATTGGTTTCATCTATAGCGTATGTAGCAGTGGTTTGTTTTCCTATTCAATATATTTACAAGATTCTCTACCATGTGAAAGCATTTTAATCAACAGGTTTTCCAAATGTTTTCTTGTCCTACCAAATCTGTGGTTTATTATCAGAAAAAGCCCCCAAAACACAGAACTTTGCTTTCACAGATCCATCCAGTGCTGTTCCTATTAGTGTGGTAATCCTCTGTCAAAACACCTGATCCGTGTGATGATCAGGTCAAGACACTGGCATTACCATCCTCCCAGCCGCTCTTTATTGCTGCGTATGCCTGGCCATGGATGTGTTAAGTCATTTTCTTAATAGAGCAAGCCAGCATGATCGCTATCATTGCAGGCTTCCTGACCTCCAGCCCGTGAGCAGGTTATTTTACACTATGATAACACACACAGGTTGATGTAATATCTCGTCTGAAATCACACTAAAAAATACAATTGAGACTGACAGGACCACCATGAGTAATAACTACAAGAGAACCCAGTCCCCCAGATCTTCAGGATCCTATTTACCCACCAGGACTAACCAAACCCATGGACTCTTAAGGGAAACGAGGTGAAATTGCTGGGGAACACTCTTTTTGCCACAGGGAGATGATTTCAATTAACCTTGCAAAGGGTGAACTCATTTCCCTCCTGCCTGTGTGAATTTCCTTGTGCTCCACCTCCTCTCCAGGCAACTTCTGGGAGCACCCACAGCTCCCCAGCAGCACAGGGCCAGGGCTGGAGAGCAGCAATGCTGGCACCAAACACAGCTGCCACGGAGGATGCTCTCTGTCGAGCCTGAAGATTACATCAGGAGCAAGAACCAGGATAAAACAGCATCCATACACAACCCCAGCATCTAGGGCAAGAGCGTTTTTAGTGCCATACTGCAAGTTATAATAAAACAATAAAGCTATTATTTTATACTTAAGTTTTCCATACTTCTGTGCCTATTACACAATTCCTGTCTTACTGCTCATGACAGATTTAGGTATCATAGAATGGTTTGGGTTGGAAGGGAACTTAATGCTCATTCAGTTCCAACCCCTGCCACGGGCAGGGACACCTTCCACTGGAGCAGCTTGCTCCAAGCCCCTGTGTCCAACCTGGCCTTGAACACTGCCAGGGATGGGGCAGCCACAGCTTCTCTGGGCACCCTGTGCCAGCGCCTCAGCACCCTCACAGGGAAGAGCTTCTGCCTAATGTAGAGCTTTCCTGCGAAACAATGTGGATTAATGTGATAAACCCAAATGAGATCTAAGAATCAGAGGGAGGGGAAGGAAATCAAGGTCAAGAAAGAATGGAGAGAAAGAAAGAGAGAAAGAAAATTACTGTAATATCTTACCTTTACTGCTAGTATTTTTCCACTAGGGACATGATATGCCCTGCATGAGGGAAAAAATTAAGTAAGTTGAGCTCACATAAAATTATCTCTATACATGTGTGCAGCTTGTATCCACTAATTTCATAGAAAAATGACTTGGAGCTAATCTGTTTTACATTAAACCAATCTCAGAGAGCATTTCTAAAGGAAGACTGATGAAAACAATTGATCAAAAGACTATATTTACAATGAAACCATTTAGCAGGTTTTTACATCTGCATGTCTTATATAAAATCTGCACATTGAAGACTTTCAGGCAGCGGAATAGTAATTTTATGGGTATGAATTTATCCATTTTCACATTTTCTTTCAATGAAATAAAATCAATAAATACCCTTTATTCACATAAAAGAAGGTTTACCACACCAGTTTGCAGCCCTATGGATATTTTTAGTGGTAGGACAGTGAGATCCACAGCTCTATCAATTAAAGTGCAGTAAAAGAGGTAATGGCTGATTCTTTATCACAACCTAAGGACCCGCAGAAAACCTGAGTGAAATGACCTTTCTGCATTTGTATTTAAGATTAGCACATGTGTACACATACAAGGTTAGAAAGCATTATTGTTAACGCTCACATGGACCCAGAATCATTTCCCACAATATTCCAAATCATTTGTCTTAATTTCTAAAGAAATTGGCTATTTAACACTGACTTCTGCATTCCTCACCATGAATTCCTAAGAAAATAAAAAGGAGGTGGAAAAAAAAGTGTCTACTAAAAATCTGATGGAATTCTGCATAAAAACAAAACCATTAAAGGTTTTCCTCTTCACTAGTTTTATTGTCTCATCCTGATTTATGACTCTATGCAGAGTAATGTCATATATGTGGCACTAACTTCAAAGAATTATAATGTTTTACCACTACACACCTCTAGCAATTATTACTGAAGAAGGAAGTTGGCCTATTGCATGCAAAATCATACATAGCAGAGGGCAGGACTGTTGTTTAATCCTATTTATAACCCTGAGTGTTCATATCATTTATTAATGGTTTGGAAGTTTCTAAAAACTTCACTTTAATTTACTAACTGAAGGATAAACATTTATGTGGCCAAGTGGCATCAGCTTGTAGGAGCAAACACCAAAACTCAGTGTTATTTAATATCGTAACAACAGTCAGGAAGCAAAGACAGAGCTCTGACAGACTGGTGGCTGAATGCATAATCCATGAATCCCACGGAGTAAATGAACTTTGCTGTAACTAGGGATGAATCAACAGTGGCAAAACATTATGGACTTAAGATGAACAGCAATGACAAGCAAGTGAACAGGTTGAGATAGCATGCTCAGCGTCTGTTAGCTGCCGATGTACTGTGCCGGACAGTTTGGCAACTTAATTAGCCTGTCAAGAAAGCTGATCTTTTTTCCATAAGAGAGATCTCCTGTTTCCAAGTGAATTAAAAGGGAAGACTTGATTATTTAATTATGATGCACGCTAATTCATCCGTGGAAGTTTGGGTTCAATTTCCAGCAGAGGGCAGATACCTGGTTTGGTTTACAGAGCACTGACAGGACCCATTTAACATTTAATTATGGCTGAGCATTGGATCACAAAGGAAATGCCATGCCCATGGGTGCAGCATGACCAGTGGCTCTGCAAATGCCATGCTACCTGGGAGGAACGGAATTTGTTTACTCCAGGCTGATCCGGCATCTCGGTTGTCCTGACCTTTCCCAACACAATAACTGTAAAGTGATTAATGAAGTTTGAATAGGAGCTTTGGTTACACCAAAAGACAACTGTACACCTCTGTAGTGCTTTAATTAACAGCTAACACTTCAAATTAGTCTGTAGTTGCTACAGTAATTACCCGTTCCAATGAGCGTGTAGGGAAAACTTTTGTTAGATATTACATACAATTCAAAGTTGGAATTGATCATTTTGGTTACAATCAGCACAGTGAAGGCCTGAAGACTTAGTACCTTTACGTAGGTTCAGAAGGATGCACTGAAATAATCCCACAGAATATTTGCAGCATGAAGAACCTACGTGCTCCGCATACTGCAACCATGAGTTAGTCTGTGGGTATCTATGAGGAGATTAAACTAATATTCATAAAGTAACGTGAAGTCTCATCCCAAGTGTCACCTCTCCCAGACCCCAGTGACACCTTCAGAAGGAATCAAACAAACTCGTCACTGTAGAACCAGATCACAGGATGAGGCAAAGCAGTAAAATGCAAAAGGTTCCTCAGCAATGCTCATTGCACATTTCAGTGAACACAGGCTTAAAATTCTTCCAGGATGGTAGGCAAGTGGTGTCACCTAATAAACAGTTCCAACTTCTCTTGCTAGGAATGCATTTGAGCAGTGCCTAACCATAAAGACAAGTGGATGTTAAAGAGGAGGGAAAACAGTTGCTAAACAGCTGCTGAACTACTTGAAGACAAATGTAAAGAGCAGGAATTAAACTCATGGAAATGCAAAATATTCAAGGAAAACACTGTTCTGACATTTTGTTCCTTGCATGAACCGGCTCTGGGAAAACAAGTTCATTCTTCGCCTCTTTTTTTGTTGGAGTTTGCTTTTGACCCACTGCATAAAAACAGCAAAAGCTCTATCAGATTATTAGATCTGTGGCTATAAATCATACATTGTGAAGGAGAAACTGCACCACATCAGAGACAGCTTCTGCAACCAGAAGCTTAAAAAGTACTTTCGAACACTCGATGCCAGAGTCAACTACTTAAAAAGTTATCATTGAAACGCTGCTGCACTTCGCCAAGTGCAGGAAGCAGGTTCTGACATGCATTTCCCCTTCCCTCTCTAGATAAGGGACTGCTGTTTAATTAAAACCAAGGTTTAATAAGTCCGAGTAGTAACTCACCCAACAAAATGTTTAGAGGTTGCACAAAATGAGAAAGAAATCTGCAGGGAGGATGGAGGAGGGAAAGCAGCAAGTCCTCCTCAGGAATAAAACACATTCCAGCGAGAAAGGGAGAAGGCGTTGCAAGAGCTCAAAGAGGGGGAAAAAACTGACCAAGAAAGCTGGGAGATGGGGAAAAAGCGAGTTTTGGGGGATCTTCCTTCCCCCCTGCCCTGGTACACTGTGCTAATGTGGGATGGAGGAAGTGGCCAACATCTCCTTCGGGAAGTTCTCCTAGCGCGCATACAGAGCATGTAACGCTGAGGGGTTGGTTTAAAGCCTCCACACACTGTATGAGAGGATGGCAGACTTCAACCATCACATACTCTGAAACCTTCCCACTGGGGAAAAGAAATTCAAATCCTGCCCATTCCCACGAGAGTTCATTATTCTGAGCCCCCCTCCATCCATTACAAGGAACAGCTCCTAAGCAAGACTGGCACAGTTGTGTCAAATATTTTATTAACCTTGACTATTAACCATATCCCCAGATATTTAAAGCCCTGAAGGGACCGATGTGAGCCAAGTCCTTTAGCAGAACTTTGTCTCTTCTGCTCTGAAAATGGAGAGGGCCCCTGAGGGAGCGCTGCAAAGGCAGCTTGCCCAGCTCCGTGGCAAGAGCTGGGTTATTTTAGGGAATGAGAAAGGCAGGGTGGGAGCAAGCATGTGCTTTGCTTGAACAAAGCCCTCCAGCTAAGCCAGAAAAACTTGTGATGGACTGTGGAGTACGGCGTGTGCAAACCCTTGTGTTCCAGAAATCAGTATCATGGAAAACTAGAATAGGGCTTTGGGGGAACTGCCAGCTCCTCGGCATCTCTCCCCCTCCCCGCACTGTATATAAGATGTGTTTCTAGAGGAAAGCAAATTAAACAGTGAAGGCGGCAGAGCAGCTGGTTTCTGTTTCAAAAAAGAAAAGGCAGAAAAAGGTAAGTGAATTTTATATTGCCTGCTTTGTTCTCCCTGAGCTCTGCTGCAAAGAAAACCAGAGCAGAAATGTAAGATGCTTTGCCTCAAACCTCTTTACGGAATAAACCACAACCCATCCCAATATTTAATGCTAGCAATTCCAGACACTGAATATGGTGAGTTTCTGATCACTTCAGAAGTAAAACAAACCAACCCAAGCAAACAGAACATGCACAAGCTGCTTAATAAACAGCTTAGATGTCAAACAAAAACATTCTCCCTCTTTCAACTTGCTAAGACTTAACAATTTTATATTCTCCCTGTGTGGAATTTTACCTAAGAGCACAGTGGGGAGCTGCACTGCTTGCTGTGATTGCAGTATAATTCCTCCTAGGGTAAGCAAAGAACTAACTTCAGGTTTCACATGAGAAGCACTCAAGAGAAACAGCAATTGTCAGTTTGTTTCCTGATTTTTAATTGTAAAGCATTTGCTCACATACGAGTGACTTCCGGATGGTCACATCAGGAGCATGGACTGAGCATGCAAAGATCCCTGAGCTTTCTCAAACTGCTTTTCCTAACAAATGTAATAAGTTCTTACTAAAATCTGAGTTTACTATTGAGATACTTCAAGTAAACACAATCTCTATTTAGAAGCAAAAATTCATTGAAGTTATTATACCCTGCTGCTAATGCTGGTGCAGAAAGGCACTGAAGGAGCCTGCAGCAGGCTACCACACAAAAGATCTGTCTTCCCATCTGTTCACGCTGGCCACCAGGGTGTATTTTTCTATTTCCTCCCCCCTGATAGCCACGAAAACTATTTCTAATCAATAAGATATTCCTTGCCAAGGGAAAGCCATGACCTGTCTGCTATGCCAATGACTCAGTCCCCTCCCGTTATAGAAATATAACCAATGTCAGCAAATATGACAAAATGATGTACTGACAGTACTGTTGCGTTAGTGGTGTGACTGCAGGACGCAGGGACACAACTCCCCTCTCACAGAGACACCACAGGAGCTTATGGCTGATGCCACAAACTCAGATGTGCTGTGGCTCTACTGGCTCTCAAGTCAGTCAGTAACAGCATGTCATTCTGTTAACAGCAGTTCTAGGAGATGAAAGGGTGGTTGCACCACCACACCATCCAATCCAACCTCCCTCTTGAAGTGAGACCGTAGCAGGGCACGAGCTCAGCTGTGGCTTTGTCCATCCCTGCGCT